AGCTTACAGTCGATCTGGAGTTAATGCCATCAGGAACTGGAGCCTTTCGCACATTGATCTTTCACAGCTTGTTCCTCACCTGAAGTGTTAAAAGTGACAGGATGGTAGTGTGGGAGAAGGGCCGTGGGATGGAGTCCTCCAAAACAGAGGCAGTGGGTGACGGCTGAGAGGTGTGAAGTTCTGGGGGTGGGGGGACAGGCAGTCATCAATGAGAAGTTGGGTTGAGGCAGGGGAAACTCGGCTGAAGGGAGGGCTAGAGGCCTCATAAAACTTGCTGAAAGACGTGCAGATGATTCATCCTCCCTCAATCTCCCCCCACCTGGGAGTTTGTTTTATGACCTGAAATTACCCTGCTGTCTTTTTCTTGTAGATATTTTTTCATCCTTGAATTTCTGATGCAGGCTGCAGCTTCCCCTTGGTCGCTCTCCTGTTCTCCTTAAGGAGAGCCTTTATTTCAGGACTGATCCAGTAAATTGTATTGGAAAAACAGCACATCATATTGAGGGGCAGAGTGTTGTTAACACAGGAGTTAATGTCGTATATAGTCCCTTTCCCACTAAAAGCCCCTGGCTTTTATAATACCTGACTAACAGGTATACCTGACAAATTTATCATGTTCATGTTCCATCACTGTGAAAGGCCCTGGGACAATAATGCAAATCAACGTAGCGGCATTGTTGCCAAAAAACGTAATCGTAAAGAACACCACATGTAGGAGCGCAATAATGATCACTGCGTAACACACTGTGGGTGCGCACAGGCATGTTTCAGTACAAACTTTACCTCCTTCTGCTGCAAGATATAATGGATATAAAGAACATTTAAGAACAAGTCACTTACTTCGACTATAGTCCATGTCCAAGAGCTCTTCTTGGCAAAGATTCTCCAGCACCTACTTCACAGTCTTTTGTGGCTCTGGTGACCATGTATGCGGGCCTGTGTCACAGGATCACATCTAGTTGCTCATACCAGTGTTTTGGCCTGTAGTCTGATTTATTACAATTGTTGTGGTCCTTCAGCCTCTTGTGGTCCTGCTTCATTTTCTTGAGCTATTCATGCACTGGCTTTGTAGTGTGCAGAATGTTTATTTCAGTCAATCTGGCTGCAAGCGGGGCTTAGATGAGATCATTGCATAAATGTCCTCCTCAGTAAAAATTAGCCTGGACATCATCATCCACTCAACAGTCGTAGTTTCTACTTTTCTGCAATAATTAGACAACAGTAAACTACACAACTGCAAAAAAAAAAAAACTGTGTGTGTTTGTTAAAGCAAAGAAAAATGGGGGTTTAAAGATAGTGGCATTGGCAGACTAAACAAAAAAGAAGCCAGACAGTCCGTCTAGCACATTCTTTTGGAGACATTTACAACTTATTTTATATTTTTTTACAATTTAAAGGATTAATTGAACCTTACTTTTTGACTACTTCTTGGTAGATAATTACCAAATGAATTAATCAAAGTGTCTCTACAGTATCTTAAAATTTATGGTAATCATTGATGTCACATCTGAGTTGCTTTTGGATTGATTCTGTAACAGTAGTGTGCATGTCCAACTTACATTACATATTTGAGCAGTGGAACCTGTTGGGGTTATTTTTTAATATGTGCAAAAAAAAAATTAAAAAACATTGGCAACCAGGTTCCTCCAGTGTGTCAAATAAGTGCCACATTGTCAATTATTTTGGAGGAAAGTATAACGAGCGTTCTTTTCTTAAGGTATCATGTTTTCTAATGCAACACAAATAAAAGGCTACTACACAAAAGTGTGACAGGGTTATTAGTAAAAACTAATTTTCAAATATGTTTTATATAATGCAGAATTTCACAGGCTTTAAAATGCCAAAAACACTCCTTTATAGATTTTATTGAATTAAAACAACTTAGGATTGTGTGCATGAATATTTTTTTACACTGCCAGATGTAGCTGGTTACACAATAATCATGGTTTTATTAAATACCTTCCTCAATGTTGTGTCCCTATCATGTTTCACAATAATATTTCACATCAATGTTAAACTGTCTTTCAATAGAACTGTAGGGAAAACGTTTTTTTTTTTTTGTTCAAATTTCTGTTTTGGGGTTTGGGACTACAGCAGTTGGATTTTATCTAGAAAGGTTAATATCAACATTTGATCATGGTATGTGCTCATGTTGCAAGATCCTCATCATTGTAAGTGTACACAAATAATGCAAATCACTGTCACATCTTCAGCTCTGCATCTTCTAGCTTTGAGTTTTTGAAAAAAAAAATGCCTTATTTCAATGGGAGCTTCTTCCCTTTGTGCCCGTTTTATCACTCTGTCTGTAGCTCCACCCTTTCTCCCACACCATTCTCCCCTGCCACCTGCCTTTCCTTCTCACTCTATCAGACTGCTATTCTGCCACACCTAATGTTTTCTACTAAAGTATTTTGCTGCATCACGCCTCCGCATGCCTCAAGAAACTGCAAACAAACCCATCTCACGGGGAACACGAAGCTCTGCGCGGCAACAGAAGCAGACTTAATTTTCATTCCCACTAGTCTATCAAGAGCAGAGAGCTCCAAGCAAGTCATAAAATGATAGTTATATAAAGAAGGTGCCATTTAAGCAACAGCGCATTTTAATTCAGATTACTCGGAAATTATCTGAAGTTCGGAGTACATAGTGTTTATTCCAAGATTCTCAGAACTATGTCTTTGATATATTTTTTTTTTTTGCATTTTTATTTTTTTTTTTTTGCATTCTACATTTTTACATCAGCAACATGTCACCTCTGTGTGCATGAACCAAGGCCATTGTTCTCAGTCATATCTGCACTGAGGCAGACATGACTGACATCTTGTCTGAGGATTGTTTTTCTTTTCTCTTTACATTTTCTTTTTTTAAATATTCCCCTTCTTGTCAGCATCCTGTTGCCGGTTGAACCCCTGAATGCTCTGGTACTTACATCAACTCCCTCCTCTCATTCTCCCTCTGTGTTTTGCCCTCTCCTTTTTCCTCTCCTTTCCTCTTCCCTGTTTGCCATCTCCATCCCTACCAGGGATTTTTAATTAATGGTGAGCCATGATGCTTATCTTATCAGCAGATCACTCTGCTTTCTATTAAACACACTGACAGAGCTGAAAGGCTGTAGGGGATGGATGACACGCACCCATACACACCAAGACACACGTAAACACTAATAGCACTTCTTCCCCCTTTTTTTGGATTCTCGTAAGTCAAGAGAATATAAACAGATCTACAAATACTCACACACATACAGTCAGTGAAGCATCCATGTCTACTGGAAGACATTTAATGAGCCTACCTTAAACCTGCCACGTACCCATTCACAAACAAACAAACTGCCCTGATGGTATCTGGCTCTGTGATTTAAGGAGCTCTGTTAGAGGGCCTCTCCTCCTAAATCCCTTAAATGCCTTGGGAATCCCTTCTTCTTCCTCACTCTATCTATCCATCCTCTACCTCCTCTTTCAGTTGTGCTTTCATGCTGACTGAACACTTATCATTTGGCAGATAAAGAGCTGTCCATGCTGGAGCTTGCTTTATCTTTGAGAGTCATGTTTACTCCCTGTGAATGTGCTGCTTTTCACAGATGTTTCATAAACTGCAGTCGCTTGACCCAACAGAAATGAGAGTGTCTGTGCTGTATTTTATGCTGTAAAAACTTTGGATGCAAAGTGCCACACCATCCTTTACCCCATCAATTTTAGCTCTCGAGGCACGTCAGTTCTCCTATAGTATATTTGCAATATTTTCATGCTTGGGTTAGCTGAGCTTGGGGGTAAAACAAATCATGATAGCTTGATGGGGATTACAGTGAGCCACGTTTTGTCACAGAACTGTAACCACAAAGGCAGAAACAGCAAAATCAATCATCAGACACTTGGATCGATGGGAGCTGCAAAGTTTCAACATAAGGTTTTGTCAAATCACTTTAAAAGTAGTCTGCTTTCTGAAGGCTCTAAAATAGGAGAGGCATGTTCAGATGACCAATGGGCAGTGTAGTTATTGGAGAAAATATTACACTAGGTTAAAGGTACACGGTGGTGTGTTGTGGTATGTGTGTGTGTGCAAACGTAATTTCCTCATTTATGGGCCTGTAGCGAAACAATCATTAGCACTGGATAACACAATAAAGGACAGCATTTCCTGAGTGCTACCAAGGGACAAAACATTTATTTCACTTTGTCCACTGTGTTAAGAGATGTATAAACTTCTAATGGCTAAAAGTACAGAGCATAACTCAACCTGCCTCCACAGCAGACAGCCTTCTAGCAGTGGTAAGGCTCTGCTGTGCGGTTCCTTACATTTTTGGATTGTTCTTGGATCTTGCTCATATAACAATACATTTCTAATTAAGCAGAAGGAGCTCTTCAAAGTTTATTTTTAAATAAGTAATGCACATAATTATGCCCTGGGCTTGCCCACTTGTTTTCCTCTGCTTAACATTGTAACTGAGTTTTACATTGGCAGGTGTTCAAGAAAGGCATACGAGTCTAAATAGTCAGAATCAATCCAGCTTCATTATTTTTTGTTTTTTTAATAAAATGCTAAATGGGTTTCTCAGAGGCATCTTTGACTGAACTCCAAATCCTTTGTATATCAGATTTAATTACTGATTCTTGCCTCTTTACTCAATTTTTAATAATACCACAGTTTCTGCTTAAACCGCTGACCTCATTGTTTACCACTCATCTTCTGTGTGCTGCAAAGAATTTAGCATATTTTCTACATATTCATCATATAATTTCTATGAATCAAGTATTTCAGTACTACATTCTTTTAAAAAGCAATATAAAAGCATTTGGCTAAAAAGAGAAATAGAAAGTTTTGTCTTACCATCTTTCACAGCTTTTGATTCCTTTGAGCCTGTCTGTGTGTACTTTAAAATGTGTTGTAAACATGGAAGTAAATAATTGAACCCCAAGCATTTGGGATATCGGGAAGAAAGTTTCAGTTGGATGTCTTGTTAATGTGCTAAAGAAATCAAAGGGCCTCTGTCTGTTGTTCCACAGAGAGTTTGGGTGGAGAGATCCGGAGCTGCCAGAGGTGATCCAGATGTTGCAGCACCAGTTCCCATCAGTGCAGTCCAATGCTGCAGCTTACCTGCAGCATCTCTGCTTTGGAGACAATAAGATTAAAGCTGAGGTATGTTGATGTTACTGTGTGTGTCTGCCTGCTGTCTTTTAGTTTTGGTAAATGTGAGTTAAATTGATTTTGCAGACTCAGGAGAAAATCTAACATGAGTGAAAAAAGGTAAAAATCTGTGGATTAGGAAAGAAAGAAATTTACAAAGAAAAGCAATGAATAAACAGATCCATGGTAATAAAATACATCATAGCACTTAAAGCTACTGTTTTATATATATATATATATATACAGGTGCTGGTCATAAAATTAGAATATCATGAAAAAGTAGATTGATTTCAGTAATTCCATTTAAAAAGTGAAACTTGTATATTATATTCATACATTACATACAAACTCATATATTTCAGATGTTTATTTTGTTTAATTTTGATGATTACAAATGACAACAAATGAAAATCTCAAATTCATCATATCAGAAAATTAGAATATTGTGAAAAGGTTCAAAATTGATGGCCCCTGGTGCCACACTCTAATCAGCTAATTAACTCAAACCACCTGCAAAAGCCTTTAAATGGTCTTTCAGTCTAGTTCTATAGGCTACACAATCATGGGGAAGACTGCTGACTTGACAGTTGTCCAAAAGACGACCATCGACACCTTGCACAAGGAGGGCAAGACACAAAAGGTCATCGCTAAAGAGGCTGGCTGTTCACAGAGCTCAGTGTCCAAGCACATTAATAGAGAGGCGAAGGGAAGGAAAAGATGTGGTCGAAAAAAGTGTACAAGCAAGAGAGATAACCGCACCCTGGAGAGGATTGTGAAACAAAACCCATTCAAAAATGTGGGGGAGATTCACAAAGAGTGGACTGCAGCTGGAGTGAGTGCTTCAAGAACCACCACACACAGACGTATGAAAGACATGGGTTTCTGCTGTCGCATTCCTTGTGTCAAGCCACTCTTGAACCACAGACAGCGTCAGAAGCGTCTTGCCTGGGCTAAAGAGAAACAGGACTGGACTGCTGGTGAGTGGTCCAAAGTCATGTTCTCTGATGAAAGTAAATTTTGCATTTCCTTTGGAAATCAAGGTCCCAGAGTCTGGAGGAAAAGAAGAGAGGCACTTCATCCACGTTGCTTGAAGTCCAGTGTAAAGTTTCCACAGTCAGTGATGGTTTGGGGTGCCATGTCATCTGCTGGTGTTGGTCCATTGTGTTTTCTGAGGTCCAGGGTCAACGCAGCCACATACCAGGAAGTTTTAGAGCACTTCATGCTTCCTGCAGCTGACCAACTTTTTGGAGATGCAGATTTCATTTTCCAACAGGACTTGGCACCTGCACACAGTGCCAAAGCTACCAGTACCTGGTTGAAGGACCATGGTATCCCTGTTCTTAATTGGCCAGCAAACTCTCCTGACCTTAACCCCATAGAAAATCTATGGGGTATTGTGAAGAAGAAGATGCAATACACCAGACCCAACAATTCAGAAGAGCTAAAAGCCACTATTAGAGCAACCTGGGCTATCATAACACCTGAGCAGTGCCACAGACTGATCGACTCCATGCCACGCCGCATTGCTGCAGTAATACAGGCCAAAGGAGGCCCAACTAAATACTGAGTGCTGTACATGCTCATACTTTTCATGTTCATACTTTTCAGTTGGCCAACATTTCTATAAATCCTTTGTTTTTATTGGTCTTCAGTAATATTCTAATTTTCTGATATGATGAATTTGAGATTTTCATTTGTTGTCATTTGTAATCATCAAAATTAAACAAAATAAACATCTGAAATATATGAGTTTGTATGTAATGTATGAATATAATATACAAGTTTCACTTTTTAAATGGAATTACTGAAATCAATCTACTTTTTCATGATATTCTAATTTTATGACCAGCACCTGTATATATATATATATATGCTCTTGTTTAATGAAAGCCAATTACACTGTAATTGGCTGTATTTTTTAAGTCATCATCCTGTTGAAGACCTATGAGCTGTGACTGAGACCAAGTTTTCAAACATAAGGCAGCATATTTCTCTCATTAGAATATCTTGATAGTCTTGAGATTTCATTGTACCCTGCATTGTACCCTCGTCAGTTTTACAGTTTTACAGCTCAGTTTCAGGCAGAGCTGGAACAGAGCTAGAATTCCCTTGTGCATCACTTATGTATGCACATTCTTAATTCCATTTTTTTCATTTAATGTAAATGCGTGTCACAAACTTGATGTCCTTCATCACCAATACACTTATTGTAAACAAATTTCAACTACATGTATGCCTATTTACAATCTAATTATAACAAACATATAAATAAGTGCCTTATGCACTCGTTAGTACAAGATCATGTATGCTCTACCACCTGGCAGTAGCACTGTCAACCCAAGGTGGTCTGTTTGTGTGAATATGTTTTTAAATGTATCATAAATAATAAAGATTGTCTATAATAAATGCTAGAAACAAAAGCAGAAAATAAGTCTGCATCTCAATGACATTAAAACTTTTTCGGGTAACTCTTCATTCTTCATCAAAATTATCCCTGCACTTATTTTTAACAAATATCAACCATTTTGATAGAAAATAAATTAATAAATAAACTGAAGAAGCTAGAAACATTTTTAATCTAGGAAATACTGTATACAGACACATCATCTTAGCATTATTTTCTTTACTATAAATTTTATTCATTGTTGGTCTGTTAGAATGATTCAACCTTTAAACTGCCATCCATACCAGAGATACAGTATATAAAATACATTTTTGTTTTCTCCAAATGCTAAACAATCAATCAAAGTTTTATCTAGATGTTTCTGGATTTCTTAAAAGAAGCAGTTTTGGTATAGATCACTATCATTTCTATATCCTTCAGAACTTGAGGGAACTTCATCACAACAAAGAACATTGAGCATCTCCATCTAATGTTACTTCAATGTGTTCTTTGCACAATGAATACCGTCTGTTCCTGCCTGAGAAGCCGCTGTGTGCAGTTCCATGATGTTACTCCTTCGTCCCGCTGCTGCACTGGCAATCAAGTCTAAGCCCTTACACCTGTGTTAGCCAAATTACTGGGAGTTACTGGGAGGAGCAATATATTATTATTATATTCCTTGCTCTCCCACCTTCCAGTAGTCCTTGTTTTGACCTCTTGATCTCAACCTGTCTCGTTTCTGTTTTCTCTTGCCTGCCTTGCCCCTGCATGATACTCCTAGTGGCTTCTGATCTCTGGACATTGACATCCTTCTTTGCTCCAGACCAAGTCTGTTTGCCTTTGCCCTTGTGCGGATTGTTCTGTCAACTGTCAGACCTTGAATCTGCCCTTGCCTCTGTCCCCATCAGAACTTCAGCCCGGTTAGTGTCCCTCCTGTTACCAATTCTTTCGCCTTGATTTCGGATTCCTCTATCCTCTAGTTCTTCTGGAAATCGTTGCCCTGTGGATTACTTCTGTATGTGTGACCCTTGGCGTAACTATGACTCCTTGCTAGCAATAGCTCTGTCTAGCACAGACAAGATCGTATTCAGTCATTCAGTGATCCAAACTGAGCCCCTGGGATCAATCATCAGAGCCAGTGCAATCTCCTGGCTTCTGAGAATGTGAGTGGCTTTCATTCACCACCACAGTGTTTCATTTCATTCAACACCACAGATTCATTTTCTGCCATTAACTCTGCTCCCCTCCCCACAGTGATTCCAGTTCCAATCAGTTTCTGTTCCTGCAGTACCAGTTTGCTTTGAATTAATTAATTAATAAATTTTTAGCTGAGTGATCTTCTCTACAGATTCTGTCCAGGCATAACACCACAGGCCATTTTCCTGAAATTATTAATGTGCTCATCTGAAAAATGAAACCAGAATTAAATCTCAAAGGAAAAGTTGCCCAACATTGAGCTACAGTATGTCATGTTGTCCAAAGCCTATCTGAATGAAATATTACGCATTAAAGCTTAACCATATTAAAAAACCATAACTACATCACGGATGTTCCAATGCATTATATGTTAAAATAGGAGGTACTGTAATTTTCATATACTTGAACTAGAAATGCACTCAACGTAACCTTCCTTACTGTAGGTACTTGGTTCTTCTTTACTTCATGCCAAATCCAACACCTGATTGGTTGTTGCGATGCGACTAGACAAAAAGGTTAAAATTTTTCAACTCAAGCTGAATTTGCTGCATGTCCATTATGGTGTCACTTCACCTGAATGTGCCTCTACATAGGAATAACATGTAGATCACTCGTGGCATGAGTTTTTACTCAACATGAAAAAGATGTGTAATTTTTTTTGTCATATAAATTGAAAATATTTATGAAAGACTATGAGATCATTCATAAACTAAAGTCAAACATTTTCCATTTTTACTTATAAAGGCATACATTTTCTGTACATGTTTATTGTTGCCAATTTGTGTTTGTTAAACATACTAGTAAGCCTTTTCTAAATGTCTTGTTCTCAGCCTGTAGCATGAAGAAATAAGGCTGCACTACGTAGTAATAATTCACTCCTTGCTGCTGGCAGCAATTTACGCTTAGAACTTCGATTGATTACAAAGATTAGAAAAACTTGAGTATTTTGTCAAGGTAAATTAAGTTTTCACACGATCTTGTTTCATTTGAAATGCCAAAGGCTTTTTTTTCTAGAGGGCTTAAAGTACACACCCCAAACACAAAAGTTGATTTGTAAAATAGATCCTGCAGTTTTTTTTTACCTGTGTTTTAGTTTTACAGATGTATTGTGAAATGTGCAGAATTTGTCTTATTTGAATAAAAGCAAAATGTCTCTAACTAAAAAATGTCAAGTACTTGAATACACAACATTTACACTATGCAATTTTTTTTTTCAGTATTACCCAAATTTCATAGCATCATTTTAGTATTTGATGGGAAAGTCTGGATTGTAAGTAGTTTTACATTGCTCCGGTGCTTGGTCTTTCTTTTATTTTACGTTATTACATAAAACAAGTAAGTAGAGCCTCTGTGTTAGATTTTCAAAGCAGAAAATAGTCTTATTGACTGTATGACTCTTTTGTGTCCTGTTCTCAGCCTTTTTGGATAGCTG